AGACTCTTATATATGGAGAACAAACAGAGGGTTACTGGAGGAGTTGGGGGAGGGCAGATGGGCTAAATAGGTAAGGGGCATTAAGAAATCTACCCCTGAAACCATTGTTGCACTATATGCTAACTAACTTGGATGTAAATTAAAAAAAAATACAAATACAAATAAAAATAGTATTAATTCAGATTAGATTTTTAGAAGTAAAGATATTAGTTGTAATCCCAGGGTAGCCACTAACAAAATTACTAAGAAAAAAAGAAAAAAAGAAAAAAGAAAAGAAAAAAAAGAAAGAAGGGAATTAAAATTGCATGTTAGATAATATCTATCTACAAAGAAGAATGCAATAATAATAGAATAAAAAAGACATAAAGCACTTTTAAAAATTATGGCAAAATGACAGTTGCAGGTATAGCATTTGACAAAAACCAACATGCCTAATGTTTTCACAAATGCCCATGGCTAACATTACATTTAGTGGTGAAAGACTGAATGTTTTTCTTCATGGTCAGAAAAAAGAGACGAATGTCTGCACACCTACTGAACATTGTACTGAGGAAATTAGGCCAGAAAACAAATAAATGCTTTACTTTAGACAACAAGTTAAACTATCCCTATTCACAGGTGATGATGACATCTTTTTATATATAGATCCTAAAGAATCTGAAAAAAATTTTTGTAGAACCAACAGATGAAGTTTCTAATAACCTACATCAGGTTGAAGGTAAATACATGTTCACATATAAACTTGTACATGAGTATTCGTGGCAACAGTATTAAACATCCCAAAGTGGAAACAACATAAATACCAACCAAGTGATGAATGGATAAATAAAATGTGGTATGTTTATACAACGGGATATTATTCACCAATCAAAAGAATGAATTACTGATATGGTTACAACATCAATGAACCTCAAAAACATGCTCAGTAAAAGAAGCCAGTGACAAAAGGCCATACACTGTATGATACCATTTATATAAAATGTTTAGGATAGGCAAACCCATAGAGACACAAAGTAGACTCATTGTTGTTAAGCCTGGATATGGGGGGGGAATGTAGTGTGATTACTAATGGGTATGGATTTCTTTTTGGAGAGTTAAAATGTTCAAAATTAGATACTGGTGATGGCTGCACAACCACTGAAATGAATACTTAATTTGAAAGGGCAAATTTTATGATATGTAAATTATATCTCAATAAAGCTATTATAAAAAGCCCATGTTTGCAATACAAATAGTTAGAATGTGTATAATGCCACATTTCTGATTTTATGAGTACTTTTATGCCAATAAAATGTCTTGTTCATATATATGTCCTCCAGAGAATCCCTAGGGAACTGTTATGATAAAAAATTTCAATCCCACATTACTATATGCTTAACTATCTGTTCTCTCATATTCAGCTTTATGTGTATTGAGGGCGGAAATATTCCATCTTGCTTCCAAAGTGCTGGAAATAGGCATTCGATAAGCATTTCTTAAGTTCATGAGTAAATAAATGAATGGATGACTGAATGAACCAATGAACGAAAGCTGAAAGTCAAATGTCATCAGAAAGTTAGTTGGCGTGCAAGAAATTTAAGGCAAAGACAATGAGAAGGAAAGACTGTCAGGTATACTCTATAAATAGCCTACATATCAGGAGGATCAACTAAAAGAACCATTTCTAATACTTTTATATAAATACTTCCTAGTGTAGGGAAGAACATGTCAGGTTGCCACAGAGAAAATCCAATTAAAGAACAGATTTCTCTTTTCCCCTCCTAGGTTGTCCAAGACATCTGTGATTGCTAATTTAGTTTCCAGATAACCTTGTAGGTGGTGAACAACCAACCTGTGCCAACCGTGTGTAGGAGATATATTGCCTCTCAAATTTTAGAGTATATTTCCCACTACTAGTTAGTAAGTGAAAGAAAAAAAAAAAAAACACTGAGTACTGACACTGTGTTAGGCAGTATGAATGAAATATGCTTTATTTATATTAATTAACTCAATAACTCTACTATGCCCCTCCCCCAACCATATTATAGTAAACAAATCTCGAGATTGAAAGCTGATTTAATTTCCCTAAGGTGATAAAGCATATAAACCAAAAGACATGATTTTAACTCCTCTGTGTGACATCTAAACTCATGAGGACTCTTGGTCATAAAGTTAGTTTGGGATTAACATTAGTCCAATGTAAGCCTGAAAACCATGACCCAGTAACCAGGGACCTAAAGAATCTGATAATCATGCATTTCATGATCTTCTAAAGTGAGAGATTATACTCTTAATATCTGGTGTTTCCAACCAACAAGTCTCCATTTTTCCTACTTTAAAAAACTATAGTGATACAAAGAAACCAAAATAATACTGCTTACATTTTCCTTACATGACAAAGGATTTAAAAAAAATAATCCAGCCATGGTATAAAAATTATTGAGATTCATACATCATTTTTTTTAATCTACTAGGTAGCACTACTTTGTGACTACTAAGAGTAACTGATTCCCTTTAAATACAAAGTTTGTATTTATAACACTACAACTCCAAGTTTTCTTTTGTTTTTAACGTCTAAAACAATTGTGAATGTATGGGGTGTGTCTTTATCTTCTTTTAAGCAATTGCTGATCATGATGAATGGGATCTTATCTGTTGAGAGGGTTTTCAGTTTTATAAATCAGAGAATGTTTAATATTAAAATCACATACTGAGTTTTTCCACTGTTACAGTACTTTGGTAGTGAAGTTGTAAAAATAAAATCTTATTCCTGCCTACAGAATAACATATTACAAACAACCTTTTTTTATTATTATTTCCTAATTAAAACAACTCTAATTTAATTGACTTAAGTGAATTTTAGTTTGTATTAACTAAGTATATGAAATCCTTGTACGTGTAGGCTGGTGCCAGGTGAACTCAGGATACCGTGCAGAGCATATGGAGAAATGGGACTTGAATGTTTGTGAGGCTCTGCGGCAAAGCAAGCAGTGTAAGAATGATTTTATGATTTCTTGCATTGCATTCTAAGACTGCTGGTGTCACAAAAGCCACTGCAATAAAGGCACTGCCACCTGGAGGCTCAGAAACAGCAACAAATATTAAAAGCACTCAATTCATAGGTTTATTAATTGAAGTGACGTGATAATAGAGAAATATATTCAGACATGACTAAAGAGAGAGGACATTGGTAGAACATCAACTCAAAACATTTCGATCTGATGTTATCTTCTTGCAGATGGACCTTCTGTATACCAGGCAGTTCTCAGAAGGCAAGATTACATCTTTCAATGGTGCTCTGAATCGTTTTTTTTTTTCTTTTTAAATTTTTTAATGTTTGTTTTTTTTTTTTTTTTTTTTTTTTTTTTTTTTTTTTTTTT